TATGGAGTCCTGAACACTCATAGCTGAAAACCGCCACAATATAAAGGCTGCAGAAATGTGGTTCTACAGAAGGATGCTGCGTACCCCTTACACTCACCGAGTGTCCAATGAGGAAATCCTCAGAAAAGTCGGACAGGGGCACAAGCTTTTACAATTGATCCATGTACAACAACTCAAATTCCTCAATCCATAAAGGCACATAAGAAAACCTTAGCTTAAATGGTAAAATAGAAGGCAAGCAAGTTCGAGGTAGACTGATAAAAACATATACAAACACATCGCCATCGAAACATGGCGCCAAGTACTTTGTCAAAGACCGCATCAGCAATGGCACATAAAGAAGATACATATATAGATATATATACATATATATATATATATATATATATATATATATATATATATATATATATATATATATATGCACACACACATATGTACATATATACATAAATGTGTGTCCATGTATATATATTTGTGTGTATATATGGCAAAGAGACAAAAAGCATCAAGACGAGACTCCAAAGCACAGGGTAGTGTCCAGGTTTTGCTTCCATAGAGCAAAACTGGCAGTATCAAGGCCTTGAAGACACATAGCTTTGTCCTTCTGCATTGGTACTGACATCTCCAAATGCTCTTGTTGATCGAGTTCATGACTCCTGCTACCAGACCAAGCTGTCTACTGACTTCTTGAAGCCACCCTCTGTGGCTTCAACGTCCTCCCCACAAGCATGGATCGACCTAACAGGCTCCCACAGTCCTGAATCTTGGTCTCATTGCTAAATACATTAAGAGCCGCCACCAGTCACCCCAGAGACTAGGATAGCAATATTATCGGCAAAATCAAGGTCTGAGACCTTGATATTACCCAGTGTTGCTCCACACTGACTTTGAGTAGTAGCTCTGCCCATTATCCAGTCTATGCAGGTGTTGAAAAGTGTTGGTGGAAGGACACAGCCTTGCTTCACCCCTGAATTAATAGGGAAGAAGTTTGACAGGCCCCCACCATACTTTACTGCACTTTTAGTACCGGTATATAGGCATGCTATTAGGCCAATGTTCCGTGTCAGAATTCCCCTAAGTCTCAGAATCTCCCACAGCGATTCTCGATGCACCGAGTCAAACGCCTTCTTGAGGTTGATGTAGGCTCCACTGCTAGGATACAGTCTATTGTGGACTTGCCAGGAGTGAATCCAGACTCCTCCAGTCTCTGGTGCTCTAGTAGGTGGTCGCGGTCCATTTTAGAAGAATGTGGACAAAAACCTTGCTAGTATACTGAGCAGTGTAATGCCACGGTAGTTGCTACAGTCCCAACGATCCCCTTTCCCCTTCCAAAGAGGGATAACCATGCCCATTAGCCCCAAGCCATAGGTTCACCCCAGCCTGTAGCAGTTCAACAAGGATGTCACATATACCTGCTGCTTTCCCACACTCTAGCTTAGAAATCCCAATCTCAGCTAGGGTAGGAGGTTCCTCACTGGTGTATGGGTCCTCCACTTGCATCAAAGCTAACTGTTGTATGGTCTACCTGGTACAGCTGCTTAAAATACTCAGCTCAACATTCACGAACCCCAACATGATCTGAGATGATCTGCCCATCCACTGAGCGGACTGCAGTCATCTGCGAGGAGGGCTTAAAGTTCAGTTTACTAAGGGCTTGGTAGGCAGGGTGAAGGTTATTTACCAAGAAATGGCTTTCAACCTCTTCAGCAAGATTCCTGGCGAACTGTTCCCTCTCCCTTCTCAGCAGTGCCCAAGCCCTATGCACCAAAGAGCTGATTGCCATTCAGCCAAGTGACACGCTTCAGTGGCCTCCAATGTCCCATGGGAGATGAAATTCTGCCTTGTCCTCGGGCGTTCACCAACGGACTCTGAGTGTTTCGCGCTTGAAGGACTCCCACGGAACAACTGGGTTCGTCAGGTTTTCAAGTTCTGTGAATCGATGAGAGACTGCCATGGCAATCCCACAGGCACACTCTTCCTCCCTTAGTCTGCCCAAGTGAAACCCCCTAGAGTGGCCACTGGAGTGACAAAGAATTTCGAAGTGGACCCGTAGGGTAACCACTACCAGTTGTGCCACAGAACTCGGCACTCTGGTAAACCTTGCAATTCTGGAGGATCTTCCATCAAGTGCTGACAAAAATGTGGTCAGTCGTCTTGCCCACAGTACCCATATCACTATACCATGTCCAGCGATGTGGGTTGGAGTACTGATACCAGGAGCCAGAAATCCTCATTCTCTGGAACCTAGCAAAGCCCCAGAGAAAGAGACTGTTCTCGCTGCAGGGATCAGCTCCCAAGCCTTGGGGGCCGACAGACATCTCATAGCCAGCACGATCACAGCCAAATACTACATTGAAATCACGCCTCTTTCACATCGAGTTTGCATATATCAGTAGGAGCATACACAGCAATAAGAGACATTAGTGCATGCTTCAGTCTCATTGCTATAATACGCCCATCAACCAATGTTACCTCAGCTACCGAGGGTTGAAGTTGGCTGGAGATGGCTATGGCTACTCCCTGGAGGTGATGACTATTGCCATGGCCTGACCAGTAGTAGGGGTACTCACCCATACTGATCGTGCTACTGCCAAGTCTTCTCACCTCCAAGAGGGCAGCCTCCTCAATTCCCTCGAAAGCAGAGGTAACCGCTCATCCTGCCGCAAGGACCGGATGTACCAAGCACTCTGCCACCCTCGCCGAAGCTGCCCCAAATAAAGGGGGTCAGCAGGCTGTGGGGTCCAACGTCCGCCTGTGGGGCTCCCTTGGGCTTTGCCCACAGGCCTCATGCCTGATTGGTGCCTGCCATTGCACAGGTAGGATGAGTAACTCTTGTTCCCATCCTGCATCCCAACATTTGCCCACCTTGCTTGCTGGATAGGAGGGACAGCACCCCTCCCCCCAACATATCCATTTATTCTGGTCGCTGCCGGTGAGTTACCTGAGAGGAGGAGGGCTGGCAAGGCCCACCTCCCCCGAGTTGCCCATTAACCCCAGGGTGGCTGAGGGAGTTGGTATGGGGCCAGTGCATGTCCATGGCTCAGTACCTCTGGGGCCTCCTGCTATTCTGAGACCCCCTACAGTATAGCCAGGGAATGTAAGGTGCCCAGTTTTCATGCCACAAGGAGGCACTGCAGAAGTCTCGATGACAGAGAGGCTGCAAACTGGCAGGGGAGGCTTAAGCAGAGCTGCTTCCTTTTTCACACTAGGCTAGCCAGCGATGGCAGCTGCAAGCAAGAAGGCATGCAAGCACTTAACACTATCTAAGCTACCACACCATCACTTCGAAGCACCCTGAGCAAGAAACACCCACTCACCTGTTACTTACATAATCCGGGATCGCCAATTCAGGCTCTATGGGCACCGAGCTGGTTTCCCTGTGGATGACCCTGCCCATCAGGTTGTCTGCGAGACAATCCTGGGTATATATATGTATATGTGTGTGTATATATATATATATATATATATATATATATATATATATATATATATATGTGTGTGTGTGTGTGTGTGTGTGTGTGTGTGTGTGTGTGTGTGTATATATATATATACATATATATATATATATATATATATATATATATATATATATATGTATATATATATATATATATATATATATATATATATATATATATATATATATGTATATATATATATATGTATATATATATATATATATATATATATATATATATATATATATATATACATATATATATATATATATATATATATATATATATATATATATATATATATATATATATACATACATATATATATATATACATATATATATATATATATATATATATATATATATATATATATATATATATATATATACATACATATATATATATATACATATATATATATATATATATATATATATATATATATATATATATATATATATATATATATATATATATATACATGCAATAATTGTATATACCCATGCTTTTTTATGAATACACTGCATGTGTATGCGAGCTTTTTTGTTACTTGCTAGAGTGAGAAAAAGCAAACGAAAGAGGCGCCAGGGGGAGGGAATTATGATTAAAACCCGAGTGGGCAAAGTCTTTTCCTTCTCTTTTTTCTGGCAATTATTTAACATCTAATTCGGTTAAAGATAGAAATATGAAATAAGAAATAAAAAGTCATGTGTTTGCTTTTCAAAAATTAGGAGAAATCAGAATATATGTCATCGTGTTCTCATTAACAGATGTATGAGCTCTTCCTCTAAACTGTTATTCACATGGCAACAGAAATACGATTTTTTATATAACGCTAAGTTTGCGTAAAAGTTGCTATCCAATAAAGTATTTTATAATATTGTATAATGAAGGAACCAGTAAATGGCAATAATCTTAAAGGTACATTATTAACACCACTGAAGATGTTGTAAATCATCAGGTGTTGTGGAGGCTCTCGGTTATTGAGTAATTTAGGAATCTTGGCGTTTAGTATGAACGATTCACTTTCACAACTATGGGAGTTCATGCACATTGTGGCACTTAAAGCGGAATTTTATACTTTTATACTGCGTCTGGACAAGCTGGCATAGCAATGCTGTTCTTGAAAGTTAATCCGCGCATCATATATTTATTTTTACCTTTCTGTCTTTGTTAATCATTATTGCGTGTGTGATATAGAAGTCGTGTACATCGGTTTCGAGCCCTTATTATGGTCATAAGAAAAGCAAGTCATCTCTCTCGCAAGTCTCACCGGAAAGGGCAGTTTGTTTACCATAACCAGCCAGTCGGTGCATTGCGCGGCGAAACCGATCACCCTGAGCGCTTTGGGCCAGGGCGAAGCCAGGGGTTACCGCTGTTCTATTAGCAACCCTCTCCCTCTTTACGTCCAGCCACACAGGATCTGAACAGCCGCAGTTCTTGTGCCCTGGACAGAGCCGTTCCCTTGAGCCACTCCTCGCCGCCGTTCTCGCCGCCCCTCCCCCTCCCCCCTACTGCCACGCCCCGCGCACTCAC